GCCAGGGATGGAAAAATGTTTTTATAACGTAATTAAAAACGGGTGATGATTATGTTCTTAATATATTTAAAAAACAAATTTAACTATTCAGACTTTTAATCATCACCTGTTTTAAATCGGTGAAAAAGTGTTTAAAACTGGTTTTTTTTCATCCTTAGTAAGAACCTATTCTTTGGCTATATGTATATGATTAATTGCACCCTATGAATTAATCTCTAAATTTTTATGTGAATATAGGTGATAAATTCCTAGCGGTTAAAGCGTATAACATTCTCAATGAGTGGTAAGAATATTCATGAGATACTTTTTTTTTTTTTTTTACAACTTGATATTCAAATCATTTAAACTATTTCTTTAATTCTAGTTACAAAACAACACTTTGCCTGAGATTTCCGCCGAATGCTTTAGCCGCTGCATCAATACTCCTTGCATCAAAATTGTTGCATAAAGAAAATTTTCCTGAAAATAAAGGAAGCATACCATGGTATACTGTTTTTTTATGTAAAATTGAGGATATAGAAGGTAATTTTTTATTCTTCATGACATTGGGTCGCTACTGGAGTGCTCCAGACTATATTAAAACATATAACTCACTTCTGGAGTGCTCCGGAGTGGGTTATATGTTTTATTTTGGACTGGTGCACTCCATTAATAACCCTAATATTATATATATTATCAAAAGATACATTTCTAATTTAAGCTTTGGTCGATATTCCTTTTTAAATGAATGCAGAAATATGTAAACTTCTCTTAGATCATTTCATATTAGAAGCTTCGTTGGATAAGGACGACCCACTAAGTTCAGAATATATGCGATTAAGATTTTCCATAAAATCAGTACCAAGTTCTCATGATCTAATTACAGAAAGTTAGTATATTCACTTAAAATTAGAATTATAATATTTCATGCATAGAAACTCAGCATTTCCAATTCTTTCTATTTATATCACAGATCCTCAACCATTAATGCCAACTGTTGAAGGAGAACAAAAAAACATTATACTGTTAGATACATGTTTAGTTTGTCGTCTCAATATATGATGATTGATTAATCCATTATATTTAGGGATGAGAT